ACAGCTGTAAAACTATGCTCGTCCTTTAGGTTTTACTTTCAGAAAGCTACAGAAAGCTATACAGTTATGTAACAGTCTTGAGCTACCGGGCTTTTTTTATATATATAAGGGCCACACTTTCTTGTAAATGTGAAGTCTTTTCCTTTTATTTGTACCTTATTTGGTAAGCCACTTAAAACTGACCTATGAATCATTCAAGCATAAAAAGGCATCTACCTCAAGGGATGGATCAGTGTTTTGCCTACACACAAAATGCCAAAGATAACACAGTTTGACAGGAATAAAACATTTATTTTTACACCAACAGGGTGATTCCCAGGCAGGTATTAGTCTAAAACTTGGCATATCTCAGCATGATGTGCAGTGTTCTTAAAATTTTGAGGAAACAGTACAGGCCAAAGACAAAAGAAGATGTGTAAGCCCTACAAAAGTATCTATGGTGAACGGTATCTGAAAGTCCTTAAAAAATAGGGAAAATTCCAGCAAAGATGTGATACAGAACCTGAGAGATGAATCTGCTCCTTCACTTGATCCATCTACTGTTTGGAAATTGTCTCTGTGGAAAGGCGGCTGCCAACAAGCCGTTCTTAAGGAAGGGAAGCAGAGGGAAAAGGTTGATGTATGCCAAATTACACAAGAACAGGAGTGAAAATCAGTGGAAACAGGTTTGATGGAGTGATTAATGCAAATTTAAAATGTATGGTTCAAATCATTTTCAGTATGTACGGAGGAAGTCAGAAGAGAGGTACATCAGTGAGTGTCTATAGCACGGTGGAACCGCACTCATGGTTGGGGCTCCATTTCAGCCAGTGGTGTTGGAGATCTTGTCAAAATTGTTGAAATTATAAACACAGAAAAGTCAGATTTCGTTCCACCATACAATACCATCTGGAAAGAGTCTAATTGACAAAGGCTAATCCCAAACACACTGCCCATGCAGTGCGAGCATATTATTGTTTGCTATATTTGTATGACAGTATTAGCACAACAGGGGCAAACTGGCTAAAATGTCCACTCGTGACAACTAAGCCCGCTCTTATGACACCGTTTAAGATGAAGGCCAGATTTAATGATTTGCTACAAGCTTAACTACACTTTAATGCTCAGCTGAGGTTTATTCTTTCCTAGTTGTAAAACAGTCTAAGCACATGGTCACTTTACTGGGCCTTCTGAAGATTACACACAATCTTCATCATTAGTTTCCATCAAGTGATTTAAAAAAAGCATCTAGAGGGAAAAAATTATGTTTGATGACAGTTCTTTACATCTCTACAAACTCTTCAGATCAAGAGTATGAGACTAGATTAAAGCGTCCTTCAGCTACAGCCTAATGATGGCGATACTGTGGGCGTAGGTTGTGGTTTGAGCATTTGGATCCAGGGGGCAAATTTAAGCACCGGACACATCATTTCCTGCATTTTGGTGACTTTTTTTTAAAATGCACCAGCTCACATCTTCATTTATTTAAATCTGACTGGCAAGAAGAAGGATAGGCAGCATTATCTGAAGATTCATTAGCATGCTGGCATCAAAAACTTACACATAACTCTGCTTTCAGAGCTCCTTCTTTTTTCCTGACTGATAACACAACACTCTGCCTGTGTGTGTGTGTGTGTGTGTGTGTGTGTGTGTTTGTGTGTGTGTGTGTGTGTGTTACCAGTGAAGTTCCAGCAGTTGTCTTGAAGTCAGACTTTAAATTCAGATTCATTTTGGGATCAAAAAGAAGCCCTCC